TGTTGAATGTGTCATTGACGAAGTCTCAGTCACTGGTGACACTAGTGCTTGTCCTGAAGTGATTTCTGCTGTTGACACAGTGCTGCTTGAGAATGGTGTCATTGTTGGCCGGCTTTCTGATGATGATTGCGTCATCAGTGTTACTGCAGTGTTTCCCGAATGAGATTCAGATGAAGACTGTCCTGAAGAGGTTAATTGTGATGACTCCTGAGTGACCTTTGATGGGGTCTCAGTTATTGACGATACTTGTGTCACTACTGGATGGGCTTCTGAAGAAGGCCCAGTTATGGAAAATTCATGCGCTGTTGGATTGCTTTCTGATGTTGAAGAAAGTGTTGATGTACTGTGTGCTGACAAATGGTTTTCTGATGTTGACATTTCTGTTGCTGTCGGATACGTTTCTGATGTACTACCAGTTCTGAATGGTCTTTGGGTATGTGTACCGTGGATTTCTGAAGATGATGGGGTTATTGATGAGAGTTGTGATGTTGGTGAACTGGATTTAGCTGTGGATGGAGTCACTGATGATGGTTGTGCAGATGAATGGCTTTTAGCTGAGGATGATACTACTGATGACAATCCTTTCATTGTTGAATGGGTCTCTGATGAAGTTTGTGTTTCTGCTGACACTTGTGTTGATAGTGGATATCCTTCTGTTGAAGTCTTAGTTATCAGTGATACGTGTGTTATTGTTGGATTGCTTTCTGATGATGGCACAGTTTTGGATGACATGTTACTTTTTGGATGCGTCACTGATGAAGTCTCAGTCACTGGTGACACTCGTGCTTCACTTGAAGCGGTTTCTGCTGTTGACTCAGTGCTGGATGAGTATTGTCTCATTGTTGGACTACTTTCTGTTGATGTCAATGTTTTGAAAGATACGTTACTTGTTTTTGGATGCATTACTGATGATGTCTCAGTTGCTGATGATACTAGTGTTTTGCTAGAAGTGGTTTCTGCTATTGACTCAGTGCTAGATGATAACTGTGTCACTGTTGTCTGGCTTTCTGATGATGATTGCGTCATCAGTGTTACTGCGCTGTTTCCCAATTCAGATTCAGATGAAGATTGTCCAGAAGAGGTTATTTGCGATGACTCCTGAGTGGTCCCTGATGGGTTCCCAGTTATTGACGATACTTGTCTCACTACTGGATGGGTTTCTGAAGAAGACCCAGTTATGGAAGATATGTGCCCTGTTGTTGGATTGCTTTCTGATGTTGAAGGAAGTGTTGATGCACTATGTGCTGACAAATGGTTTTCTGATGTTGACATTTCTGTTGCTGTGGAATACATTTCTGATGTAGTCCCAGTTCTGACTGATCTTTGCGTATGTCTCCCTTGGATTTCTGAAGATGATGGGGTTATTGATGAGATTTGTGATGTTGGTGAACTGGATTTGGCTGTGGAAGGAGTCACTGATGATGGTTGTGCAGATGAATGTGTTTTAGCTGAGGATGATACTACTGATGACAATCCTTTCATTGTTGAATGGGTCTCTGATGAAGTCTGTGTTTCTGCTGACACTTGTGTTGATAGTGGATATCCTTCTGATGAAGTCTTAGTTATTAGTGATACGTGTGTTATTGTTGGATTGCTGTCTGATGATGGCACAGTTTTCGATGACACGTCAGTTGTTGAATATGTCACTGATGAAATCTGAGTCACTGGTGACACTAGTCCTTCTCTTGAAGTTTTTCCTGCTGATGACACAGTGCTGGATGTGAATTCTGTCATTGTTGGCCGGGTTTCTGATGATGATTGCGTCATCCATGTTTTTGCAGTGTTTCCCAAATGAGATTCAGATGAAGATTGTCCTGAAGAGGTGAATTGTGATGATCCCTGAGTGGTCTCGAATGGCGTCTCAGTTATTGACGATGCTTGTGTCACTATTGGATGGGATTCGGATGAAGACCCATTTATGGAAGATACATGCGCTGGTGTTGAATTGCTTTCTGATGTTGAAGAAAGTGTTGACGTACTGTGTGCTGACAAATGGTTCTCTGATGTTGACATTTGTGTTGCTGTAGGATACGTTTCTGATGATGTTTCAGTCATTGATGATTTTTGGTTGTGTGTACCATGGAGTTCCGAGGACGACTCAGTTGTTGATGACAGTTGTGGTGTTGATAACTTGGATTCTGGTGTTGGCGGAAACACTGATAATGTCTGTGCAGATGAATGGGTTGCAGCTGAGGATGATGCTATTGATAACAATTCTTTTCCTGTTGAATGGGTCTGGTATGAAATCTGTGTCACTGTTGACCCCTGTGTTGTTGAGGGAGATATTTCTGATGAAGTCTTAGTTATTGATGATACTTGTGTGATTGTTGGATTGCTTTCTGTTGATGGCACAGTTTTGTAAGACACGTTATTTGCTGAATGTGTCACTGATGAAGTCTGAGTCACTGGTGACACTAGTGCTTGTCTTGAAGTGGTTTCTGCTGTTGACACAGTGCTGGAGGTGAATTCTGTCATTGTAGGCCTGGTTTCTGCAGGTGATTGCGTCATCTGTGTTTCTGCAGTGTTTCCAGAATGAGATTCAGATGAAGATTGTCCTGAAGAGGTGAATTTTGATGATCCCTGAGTGGTCTCGAATAGGGTCTCAGTTATTGACGATGCTTGTGTCACTACTGGATGGGATTCTGAAGAAGGCCCAGTGATGGAAGACACATGTGCTGTCGTTGGATTGCTTTCTGATTTTGAAGAAAATTTTGATGTATAATACATTTCTGATGATGTTTCAGTTATTGATGATTTTTGGTTGTGTGTACCATGGAGATTTGAAGATGACTCAGTTGTTGATGAGAGTTGCAATGTTGATAACTTGGATTCTGGTGTTGACGGAGTCACTGATGCCGTCTGTGCAGATGAATAGGTTTCTACTGAGGACAACACTACTGATGACAATTCTTTTCCTGATGAATGGGTCTGTGATGAAGGCTGTATCACTGTTGACCCCTGTGTTGATGGTGGATATCCTTCTGATGAAGTCATAGTTGTCGATGATACTTGTATGATTGTTGGATTGCTTTCTGTTGTTGATCCAGTTTTGAGTGACAGGTTAGTTGTTGGATCGGTCACAGACGAAGTACCAGTCACTGGTGACAGTAGTGCTTCACTTGAAGTGGTTTCTGCTGTTGACTCAGCGCTGTATGGTACTTGTGTCATTTTTGTACTACTTTCTGTTGATGTCACCGTTTTGAAAGACATGTTTCCTGTTTTTGAATGCGTTACTGATGATGTCTCAGGTGCCGATGATACTAGTGTTTTGCTAGAATTGGTTTCCGCTGTTGACTCAGGGCTAGATGATAACTGTGTCACTGTTGGCCGGCTTTCTGATGATGATTGCGTCATTAGTGTTACTGCAATGTTTCCCGAATGAGATTCAGATGAAGATTGTCCTGAAGAGGTTAATTGCGATGACTCCTGAGTGACCTTTGATGTGGTCTCAGTTATTGACGATGCTTGTGTCACTACTGGATGGGATTCTGAAGAAGGCCCAGTTATGGAAGTTACGTGCTCTGTTGTTGGATTGCTTTCTGATGTTAACGAAAGTTTTGATGTACTGTGTGCTGACAAATGGTTTTCTGATGTTGACATTTGTGTTGCTGTAGGATACATTTCTGATGATGTTTCAGTTATTGATGATTTTTGATTGTGTGTACCATGGAGATTTGAAGACAACTCCGTTGTTGATGAGAATTGTGATGTTGATAACTTGGATTCTGGTGTTGACGGAAACACTGATGATGTCTGTGCAGATGAATAGGTTTCTACTGAGGATGATGCTATTGATGACAATTCTTTTCCTGTTGAATGTGTCTGTGATGAACTCTGAGTCACTGTTGATCCCTGTATTGTTGAGGGAGATAGTTCTGATGAAGTCTTAGTTATTGATGATCGTTTAGTGATTGTTGCATTGCTTTCTGATAATGGCACAGTTTTGAATGACGCGTTAGTTGTTGTTGGATGTGTCACTGATGACGTCTCTGCTACTGGGGACATGAGTACTTCCCTTGAAGTGAGTTGTTCAGGGGACTCATTATTGGATGATAATTGCGTCATTGTTGGATTGCTTTTTAATGATGACACAGTTTTGAATGACTGGTTACTTGTTTTTGGATGTATCACTGATGATGTCTCAGTTACTGGTGACGCTGGTGCTTCTCTTGAAGTGGTTTCCACTGTTGCCTCAGTGCTGGATGATATTTGCATGATAGTTGTCCGGCTGTTTGATGATGATTGTGTCATTCCTGTTACTGGATTGTTCGTTGGATGTGATTCCCATGAAGATTGCCCCATGGAGATTATTTGTGATAATCCGGGACTGGTTTCTGATGACGACTCAGTTAATGATGATATGTGTGACACTGTTGGATGGGTTTGTGAAGAGGACCCAGTTATGGATGACAACTTTAATGTTGTTGGATTGGTTTGTGATGTTGAAGAATTTATTAATGTACTCTGTGCTGACGAATGGGTTTCTGATGAGTATGGTGTAAGTGACAATGTTGTCACTGTGGTTGGATGGGTTGCGGATGAATTCAGCGTTACTGCTGTCAGTTGTGTTGATGCAGGGGATAATTCAGATGAAGATTCTGTTGTTGATGATATTTGTGACATTGTTGACTGGCTGCCTGACAGAGACCTTGTTACCAATGAGACTGTGTTACTTTGTTGGGTTACAGCTGAATGATTTGAGATCGAAGATAAATGTACAGTTGCTTGACTTGTTTTTGTTGAAGAGCCAGTTATTGATGATAACTGTGCGGAAGTTGAACCCCTGTCTAACGTGGAAGCAGATTCTAATGAACCTTGTGATGTTGAGTGGATTTGAGATGAGTACATTTCAAATGATGATGTTTGTGCAGTTGTCTCTGAAGAGGATATTATTACTGGGGACACTTGAGTTCCTGTAGGGTACATTTCTGATGTAGACCCAGTTATTACTGATCTTTGGGTATGTGTACCACGGGTATCTGAAGATGATGGGGTTATTGATGAGAGTTGTGATGTTGGTGAAGTGGATTTAGCTGTGGAAGGAGTCACTGATGATGGTTGTGCAGATGAATGGGTTTTAGCTGAGGACGATACAACTGATGACAATCCTTTCATTGTTGAATGGGTCTCTGATGAAGTCTGTGTTTCTGCTGACACTTGTGTTGACGGTGGGTATCCTTCTGATGAAGTCTTAGTTGTTGGTGATATGTGTGTTGTTGTTGGATTGCTTTTTGTTGATGTCACAGTTTTGGATGACAGATTAGTTGTTAGATGTGTCA